ACTGAATCACAAAAAGGCAACACCATAGGAATCATGTAAATGTATATCAAATAAACTACCTCCTATGTAAAGGTGTATATATAAATGAATTAAGCTTTCCTTCATATGGTTGACGGTTTCATGAATGGTATAAGTAACAGCTTGGTCACATTTGATAGAATCAACTATTCAAACATCAATTATACTACTTAAATTAGATCAATCAGCAACCAATAACCTTTCATATACTTTATATGGTTCAATAGAAATAATGATTTATATTAATTGAACATCTTGAATGGAGACTATAATTTATGAATGAACCAATCAGATTGATGATAATACATCTTTGATTATGGCTCCTGTAGCGTTTTGACATTATAACTGATGTCAGTTCATGATGAAAAGCCCTACATCTAATTCTCAACACTAACCATCATTTGATCCTATTAAGTAGGGGGATATTCTTAGGGTTACTTTAGCATCGTTCAAAAAGTTGCTCATAAATTATAGTCTCATCAATCTTGATTGGTTTAGCGAGGAAGGGAGGTAGATACAATGTGAGAAATACAAATAACCCTTTGCACAAGCAAGTGACTATCAGGATTCAGTAGGTGAGTGGATAACGTGATGGCGTTTTAAGCGAAAGGTACTAAATTTGAGTCCCAGAGTAAACATCAGATCTGAGATACAGTTACATCCAGCTGACGAGTTCTAAATAGGACGAAGTGTCGCGCATCGAACTGGATTCTACTGCTAGCTACTATCCATCTTTGCTTAGAAATATAAATTAATTTATAAACATTTATATATAATAATGAATCTTACCAGCTCCTTCTAGCCTTTTTTCAGGCATTAATTTGGCTTGAAATTCTTTACTTAAATAAAGAGGATGATAAAAATCACCAACTAATGCTTTGATCACTTTACCAACATCACGTAAAGCCACTTTAGATGTCTAATTATAAAAAAAAGAGGAATAACAAAAAAAGCAATAAAGAAAATCATTAAAGAGAATAATCCCGCAAGGTGAAATCGTGAATATGTTCTGTTGAAGATTCCCACAGTAGGACGAAATGATCTTCCAGTGCTTCCAGGTTTTCCATAGTGGTCTTCCTTCAAATGACTCATGCTTTCAACTATGATAATAATTAACAATTGAAAAGAAACTACTGACTAGTTTAATAGATTGTTCAGTGTCTATAATGTCTCTAAGCTAAATGACAACATTTATGTATGTATGGTATTCATTTGTTTCATACATTTAAGCTAATAGAACAACATTAACATGCAACTACAACAACATTTATATTGAATATTGAAAAGACTATTTGAAATATACAAAATATGATATCAAGTTCTAATTGAGTTTGTAGATTAGATATCAAAGGTTTTTCGAATAAGATCATGAACAGATGAATGTTATCTACCACTTGAAACCTAGAAATAATGAACAGTTATTTTGTCCTAGTATGGAGCTCGTCAGTAGTGCGAGTCTGTGATTCCGCATCAGACGATCTCGAACTTAGAGTCTTTGATCTCTCTCGTAAACTCTTAACTTCTAGTGTTACTAGTGTTTAGTGACTAATTTCAAGAAGTGACTTTCGAAGTTCTAATAGGAAGCTGTGATCGGCAATGTTCAACTAGGTCTGTTGTGAGGCAATTACCCAATGAAGATGACTAAGGATGATGCGCCAATATCGTGGATTGGTTGATGTTAGACATGACTCACGAGATTGAAGGTCCTAGATTCGAGTGTGAGTTCGTGGATTTGCCCTGTTGACGAGTCATACACTAGGACGAAATAGCCATTCAATGCTTCCAGGTTACTAATGATGATCTAACATTAATCGATTCATAATCTCAATTAAAACTCGACAATCTTCACAATCTTATACTGATTTATAAGTACTTAATGTACTGAAAAATAAATTATAAAGTCCAAAAGACAAGTACTAATTTCACTGTAGTGTGGAGTGTCTAAGTCATTTCGTTCTAGTATAGACCTTCTCCTCAACAGTTCCCACCTAAGATCCCATACCAAATGGACTCCAATCCAGGATCTATCGGTCTCGCGTGCGATCGCCTAAGCTCTAAATCAATGAACTAGCATCCAATTTTGTTAATGTCTAACTTTAACTAATCCACAAAATTGCTCCATCATCCATCATTGTCTTCAGTGAGTCACTGTTTCATAACAGGCATGGTTGAACTTCCTTGATCACGGCTTCTCACTAGAACTCCAGGAAATAAATCTGGAGGTCAGTCGGTAGTTAGCACATGATGATTACTATCAGAAAGTGGGGTTTTACGTAGATTGTAATAATTCAATGGTTGAATTCAATATATATTTGCTACATAGTACAAGAAAATACAGATAGATACAATGTATTGATTTGTGTACACTAACTATTGTGCAATAATACATGATTGGTGAATCAAGTGTTACATCATAAAATTCAATAGAGCAATGAGAAGATCAAGTTGACTTGATCACATCAACTCTGTCCTTACATTACTCTATCGAAGTTTGTAAAAAAAGACTAAAACTGTATTATTTCTTTAAATCTTCCCATTGATACTTACGATTGCAACTGGTCAGTCTCTTATTGGACATATGTGCATCTTGTGAGTAATTCCTCTATATAGCCAGAAGTCGCAAGCATTATAAGCAAAGATGGATAGTAGCTGGCAGTGGAATTGAGGACTCGCAACACTTCGTCCTATTTGGGACTCGTCATTCGGATGTAGCTGCATCTCAGAGTTGATGTTCACTCTGGGACTCAAACCCAGTGTCTTTCGCTCCAAACGCCAACGCATCCTAAACACCGATTGAGAAGATTCAAACAAATAATACTAACCTAATTTAAACTAAACCCCCATCGCACAAGCTAGTGGCTATCCGGACTAAGTAGATGAATGAATACTGGATTAGAGTCTCAGAGTGAACATCAACTCTGAAATACAATTACATCCAGCTGACGAGTGTCAAACAGGACGAAATGCGCGTTCTGAATTCCACTATCCAGCCACTATCCATCTATCTCTACAATAGTCTTAACAGATCTTATTAATCAGATCTATGATTTAAATCTTTTACCAAAGAATTACATTTTCTATACTCATAATGCATGCATATATTGTAATATTACAATTATAAATATTTACACAAACAGATATTATAAAGAAAAAAAAATCATTATACACTACTTCATTAAACATACTACTACTAATACTACTACTACTATTAATACTACTACTATTACTACCACTACTGTTACTACGGTTATTATTACTATTCTACTGTTACCTTGTGTTCTTTGGATACAGTTCTGCCTAGTTTCTAAAATATATATATTGATTATCGAATACATTTAAAATAGAATAGTTTGTAGAGAAAAAGAATAAAAAACAAACAAACGAAAACTGTTTAGAATTTGATTAGCAACAAACTTACCGTAATATTTTATATGATAGTAGAATATAAAATATATGGATGGGTAATTCTTCAATTGAAAAATAATCAGTTTTTCACAATTGGCTATTACTATCAAATCATTTTTGGTCATTTAACTGATAATTCCAATGGGTTCGAATCTTGTTAGGCGAGATCATGAATACGTACTGCCACTGAGGAGTCCCACAATCAAACGAAACAGCTGTCCAGTGCTTCCACGTTATCCATGATGGTCTAGCTTCAATCGACTCATGATTTAAACTAAAAATCTCTACAAAACCTTTTTCTAATAATTAACTGAAGTATTTATGAATAAGATCTGAAAGGTTAGGATGTTAATCTTTTTTTTTTTGACATCAATAAATCTTCTGACGGATTTCTAATCAATAACTATAGAATGTATTGTGGTTTACATCAAGGACTGACGTTAATTAGACAGTCACTGAGAATCAAAAGGCAATGGATATCTCTTTTTTCAAAATCCTATCGTGATACTTCTCAGAATTGTACATTTACGAATCCATCGAGGATCGAAACTCAAGTTTGAATAGTCTATTTGAGTGCAACCAAGAATATGATAAAATGTCAGTCTATTTTTTATTCACATTCATGGCGTACTTATCTGTTAACATTTTCATACTGACACTTCCTTAACTGCTATTGTAATGTGGTCTACTTATATCCATATAAGTAGTATATGATGATGATCAGACATAGAATATATTTTAGCAGAAGATCGGTAAGGAACGAACATAAATGAAGCGCAATCGGTATGAAAATGCATGAACAATGAAATTAGAGAAGATGGATTGATATTTACAAAAGGAACGGTGAAGATTGAGACCATTGATTGTTATTTTGCATATTAAGTATTTACTTCAACTTAGTATTGTTTGTTTGAATCTTCCCATCGATTTGTTAGGACAGCAACTGATCAGTCTCTAATTGGCATATGTGCATACTGTGCGTATTGTCTCGATATACCTTAATTCACAAGCATGGTAAGCAGAGATGGATAGTGGCTAACAGTGGAATCCAGTTTAGACGCGCGTTTCGTCCTATTTGGGACTCGTCAGCTAGATGTACCTGCATCTCAGAGTTGATGTTCACTCTGGGATTCGATGGGAAGATTCAAACAAACAATGCTAAGTTGAATTTAAACTTCACCCCATCGCACAAGCAAGTGGCTATCAGGACTCAGTGGCCGAGTGGATGACGCGATGGCGTTTGAAGCGAGGGTGCTGGGTTCGAATCCCAGAGTGAACATCAACTCTGAAATTCAGGTACATCCAGCTGACGAGTCCCAAATAGGACGAAACGCGCGTCCTGGATTCCACTGCTAGCCACTATCCATCTCTGTTAAGTATTTACTGTTTGGTTATCAGATTTAGTGAGATAATTTTGTGCTTGAAGACATTCGATTGTCCCCACCCGTGTTCTTGTTCACTACTCTATCATAGATAGAGCATTCAATATTAAGATGATTTTGAATAAGCTTGTTACATCAGTGCTATTCATGTGAACTAAATACTATTTACTGATACGATTGTTTACAACGAATGTGATATCAGTTGATACCAGTTACTCGTTGTAAACGGAACTAGACTGATAGGTCAACGTAAGAAAGGAAATAAAACTGTATAAGAAAACTGATTCATTCATTGAAGATTAAATAGACGATATCCATTGAATGATATATCTTTTATTCTTTCTGGCTAAATTCAACCTTTCAATAAACACCAATCGAATTACACTTGACGGAGAAGCTTTGGAGGATGTGGAAACCTTTTCATACCTGGTAAGCATCATTGATGAACACGGTGGATCTGATGCAGATGTGAAGGCGAGGATCGGCAAAGCAAGAGCAGCATACTTACAACTGAACAACATCTGGAAATCAAAACAATTATCAATCAACACCAAGATCAGAATTTTTAATACATATATCAAGTCAGTTCTATTGTATGGGGCGGAGACGTGGAAAACTACGAAAGACATCATCTTGAAGATGCAGGTGTCTATTAACAGTTGTCTACGCAAGATACTTCGGATTCATTGGCCAGACACTATCAGCAACAACCTGCTATGGGAGAGAACAAACCGGATTCCAGGAAATCAGGAAGAGGCGCTAGAATCGGATAGGACACACATTGAGGAAACCACCCAAATGCGTTACAAGGCAAACCGTCAAATTGAATCCTCGAGGTTATAGGAGAAGAGAAAGACCAAAAAACACGTTATCCTGAGAAATGGAGACAGACATGAGAAGAATGAACAAAAATTGGATAGAACTAGAAAGGAAGGTCCAGGACAGAGTAGTTTAAAAAGCGCTGGTCGGCAGTCTATGCTCCCTTGGGAGTAACAAGTCTAAGTAAGTAAGTAAGTAAGTCATACTCATTTCGTTGAGTTGTTATGATAATAAGGATTTGGTGCATTTGCACTACTTAAACCTAGAACTCAAATGGTTCAAGACTAGTAATCACAATGTTACTGTTCATTCCTGACTCACAGAAGAGTACGTCATTCCAAGTACTTCTTAAAACTGTTCAGGTAATGTTTGACTAAATCGGATGAAACATCCATCCCTAGATTCTGTTGTTAGTTTTTATTTAAATTTACCAAACATTAATTGAATAATTATAGGCAAAGATAGATGATTACTAGCAGTGAAATCCTGGATGTGTGTTTCGTCCTATTTGGGACTCGTCAGCCGGTTGTACCTGCGTCCTAGAGTAGATTTTCACTCTGAGAATATCGATGAGAAGATTCAAACAAACAATATAAAATAAGTCTAGGTTGTATGAGGAACTATTCATTACGGTATTCAGAGAAGTAAATTGAATATATTATTTAGACCACAGATCAACCTAGACTAGACAACTATTATTTAAAATTCGGAATTACCGAGTAGTATGGGGCTTTTCAACAATGTCTACGACGAACCTATCAGATATCGAACCAAATACCCAAAGATTATACTTCACTAGCGTTTAATTTTAAGGGAAAATTGCACTTGTTCTAGTGGGAAGTCGTAATCTATAAAGTTCATTCATGCCAAGTATCAAGCAGTCATTTACTGAAAATAAAGGAAGGTAGTTATATAACATGAAGAATTAATTGAAATTAGACATGTAAACTATTGAATATCGACTTAGTACTCCGGGATTTAAGCGCTCGTTGTGAGAACCTAAGGCACTGAGTTAGATTACTGTTTGTTTTAAAGATACTCACTACTGGAGAGTCCCATTCTAAGATAAAACAGTTATTTATAGCCTATACTTTTTCGATTCAGGTTAGTTCATGAGTTGAATATCAAATACCATGTTCTTAATACTGCTTTGTTTTACATCCATATACTTAATTCTTATCAATATCATTTGATGATTAGACATTTCCGATGCCACGGAAGGTGAGTCAATGTTTTTGTATATAACAAGAATACACTTGGATACACAATATATTCATAGGTAAATACATTCACTCCCTAACTACGCTTGAGTAATTATCTAATTTATTTACTGTATTCAATGAAATCAGTAGCATAAGGCTAGTAAATTAATTCAGTCAATAAGTGAATGGATTCTAAACTATTCATTTGTAGGTATATATATATATATATATATATATGTAATGAAGTGATTAGCTTCTGCTTTATTAGAAGGGGTTTTCGTAGATATTATAGTAATTTTAGTAGCTGAGACTATGAATTGATTGAAGCTAGATCACCGTGGAAATTGTGGAAGCATTGGATGACCGTTACGTCTTATTGTGGGACTCCTCAGCAGTGCTCCTCTACTATACTGCCTTGCAAGATTCGAACCCAGATCTCTTCGGTCGCGCTCACAAACATGTAACGTCTAGTCCACTGAACTGGCATCCATGATGGTCTAGCTTCAATTGACTTATGATCTCAACTATTAACCTCTGTTTTACCCAAAAATTAAAGATGCGTCTTCTAAAGTAACAACTCTTGTCTTAAGTGTTAAAAATGTTATCAGGGTTGTTCAGCTTCAAACTTTATATAGCTCTATATATTTTTACTTATTATTATGTAATCGAAACGAATGTTTTGTAGCTGTTTAATGAAGTTAATCCTGTAAAAGAATCTATATGATAGGAATACGTGCACTTCTATATATTCGTTAATCTTCCCAAACTAATTCGGGTTAGCTCAACAAAGAACTATGGGATTCTAACACTCTAGAAAACCAAGAGAGTGGACACTTTAACCGTTTATTTTTATGTTATTCGTGTTGTCATCAGGGACTTCAAGGTGACTATCCTTTATGAAGCAAACATACACGTAACTAATCTAATTCTTTTCATCTGTACTGAGGACCTAAGTCGAAGAGAACAAAAATGTATACACCATTATGGGGAATGGATATATAACTTTGTAATTACACGTTACATGCATATATAGAGTGTATAAACCAAGTTCTATACACTTCATAGTACACATATAGATATAGGTGCAATTCCCTATGGTTACAACAGGCTGGAGTTCAACAGCAATGGTAAATATAATGAAGTATTTGCTTTCAAATCATTAGATTAGAATTCGTCCATATCAATAACACGTTTAATGTTAACCACTGTGCTGTAGTTATGGCTTTAGTTTTCATCAGACCTAATGGCCCTCACATGGAATCCTGAAGGTCAAAGGAGAAGAGGAAGACCAAAGAACACATTACGCCGAGAAATAGAGACAGACATGAGAAGAATGAACAAGAACTGGATAGAACTAGAAACAAAGGCCCAGGACAGAGTGGGTTGGAGAATGCTGGTCGGCGGCCTATTCTCCATTGGGAGTAACAGCCGTAAGTAAGTAAGTAAGTAAGACCTAATAGACCATCCTAGAGATCATCCAGTTAGGTACTAAAAGGAATAATTCATTCCTCCATTTCTGCCTAACACATACAGTTTTACCACGAGCTTTCAGAAAAGTTCATTTTTTATGAAAGATTATTCCATTCTTCATCAGTTCCAACAGATTATAAATGAAATCTATCTCTACTCAAGCACTCAAAACAACTGTCAATTAACTTCAAAGTGTGAATCTTCAATACGAAAGTCATGACAGTCAATTTTAGTGTACGGATTTGAAACATGAAGAACTACTATATCCATCATCAAGAAGATTCAAGTATTTATAAACATTTGTCTACACAAAATACTCAACATTCACTGGCCGGATACTATCAGCAACAGTGTTTTATGGGAGAAGACAAACCAGCTTCCAGTTGAATAGGAAATTAGGGAAAGACGTTAGAAGTGGATCGGACATAAACTAAGGAAATCACCAAACTGCGTCACGAAGCACTCCCTAACTTGGAATCCGGAAGGGAAACAGAAAAGAGGAAGGCCAAAGAACACTTTACGTCGAGAAATAGAAGTAGATATGAAAAGGATGAATGTTAACTGGACAGAACTGGAAAGGATTACCCAGGACAGGGTTGGATGGAGAATGCTGGTGTTCGGCCTATACTCCTTCTCGAGGGGTAACAGGCGTAAGTAAGTGAATAAACGAACATATAACCTCCAGGGAGAGTCGAACATCTTGACACCTGGTTTACTAATTCATTGCTCTATCTACCATTGAGATATGGAGAGTTTACATCTTCACAGGGAAATAAATTAAACATGTTACCATGAAAATGAAATAAACATTTCAATTATTCAAAGAAAATTAATTAAAATTGTATCATATTAAATAAAGTTTTACATTAATGAAACAATGTTTCCATAAATATTTTTAATTTTTTTTCGGGGGGGGAGGGGGAAGGGGGATGTTGTAAATAAATGATTATTACGTAATAATTGTATTTACAAAAATGTAAGTTAATACATTATTTTACATAAATGTATATGATATAAGTAAAAGCTGTATACACATGTATCAATTGAATTTGATTTTGATTGGTATTGTTTGCTTGTATCTTCCCATGGTTGTTAAGATCTTCTATTGATTAGTCTCTTGTTGGGATATATGCATCGTGTGCGAATTGTCTCGATAATGCTTTAATTGACATACATTATAAACAAATATTGATAGTGACTAGAAGTGGAATCCGGGACACATACCATTTCGTTCTAATTAGAACTTGTCAGATGTACTTTCAGGGTGGAGTTGATGTTCACTCCAGGACTCGAACCCAGTTCCGTTCATTTCAAACGCTATCATTTTATCCACTTAGCTACTGATTCCTGATAGCCACTTGCTTTTGCAATGGGGTGAAATTTAAATTCCCTTAGTATTGTTTACTTGTATCTTCCCATTGTTGTTTAGGACTGCAATTGACGAGTTTCTAATTGGTATATATTCATCTTGTTCGGAGTGCCTCGATATTGATTTAATTCACAAAGTTCATAAACTGAGATGGATAGTGTCTAGTTGACGAGTCCTAAATAGAACGAAGCGCTCATCGTAGCTTTCACTACTAGCCACTATCCATCTTTGCTTACAATCAAATTTCAGATATAAGATCATGGATTTTGGCACTGAATCCTAATCTTATTCTCTAACACTCATTTGACACTTGTAAGTAGATGAGCATTTTTCAAGATCATTTAAGTACCCCTCAAACATCATGCATAATAAAGCCATTAATAATAATAAATGATACTGTCACCATGACAACTATAAAAAAATTTCAGAAGAACAAAAAAAATTAATTTTATATAGTTGAGATCATGAATCAACTGAAGCTAGACCACCATGGAAAACCTGGAAGCACTGGATGGCTGTATCTTCTTATCGTGTGACTCCTCAACTATATAAAATTATTAAATTCTCTACAAAACCCGCTTCTGATAATTATCATATGCTCACTAGTGACTGGCTCTATTTCCTGAAGTTCTAGTGAAAAGCAGTAACCAGTGGAGTTCAATCAATTTTGTTGTAAAGATATCAACTCACTGAAGACAATTGATGAACGGTTGCTCAAACATTGTGGATTGTTTAAATTGAGACAATAACACTGTTGAATGCCGATCAGATTATTGGTCTAATGGTAAGGTGATTGCACGCCAGATTGATACATCCTGTGTTGAAATCTCTCAAGATAAGTTCATGGATGTTCACTTCTGAGGAGTCCCATGATAGGAGATGATGACACAACCGTAGAATACTTCTAAATTTTCCATATTCATCTAACTTCAATTGATTCATGATCTCAACTATATAAAATGACTAAAAATCTCTTTGAAAACCCCCCTCCCATTAAAAAAAAAATAAAATAAAAAAAATAAATAAATAAAATGAATATATATGAACTTACTCGATGTGAACGATTATATTCCCACATTTTATTAAAAATGGCTACTTTTGAATTCTACAAAAAAAAAAAAATTTTTTTTTTAAAAAAAAAATTTTTTAATGAATAAAATTTAAAAAAAAATTTTTTTTTTTACCAGATTTTTTAATTGATCCGTATATAATTTTTCTAACATGTAAATTGTTAAAAAATCTTCTAAACTAAAACCTTGTTCTAAGAATAATTTAACAAAATCATGTCGATCACTCATTAATGCCTGATACATATAATCATTTAATTGACCTTTCTAGAAAAAGAAAAAAAAAGAAAAAGAAAAGAAAAAGAAAAGAAAAGAAAGTAAAACTATATATATATATATATATATATACAATATAAGCAAAGATGGATAGTGGTTAGTGTTGGAATCCAGGATGTGTGATACTTTGTCTTAGTTGGGAGTCGTTAGCTAGATATAACTATATCTCAGAGTTGATTTACATTCTGGGACTCGAAACCATAAGTATTGTTCAATTGAAATATCATTACATCATTCATTTTGTTACCAAGTCCTGATAGTGAATATCAACTGTGAGATGAAGGTAAATCTAGTTGATGAGTCCTTAAATGAGACGAAATGAATGTCAAACTAGATTCATTGCTAATCAATATCCATATTTGTTTATAAAATTTGTAACTTTAGACAATATCAAAGTAATCCTCAAAAGATAAGCATATGGCAATTGCAATCCTAAACATCAATGCAAAGATTTAAACAAACAATACCAAGTGAATTTATATATATATATATATATATATACTACTTGATTTTATGAGTCGATTAAAGGTAAACCTTTAAGAAAACTCTGAAAGTATTGGATGATCGTTTCGTTCTAGTATGGAAATTTTCAGCAGTGCATATACATGATCCCATACTAAAAGGGATTCTAATTTACGACATATCGGTCTCACGTGCAAACGCTTAACCTCTAGACCACTGAATTGACTGGAGTCATATAATGTTAATGTCTAACTTCAACCAATCCACGAAATTACTTCACCATCCAACATTCTCTTGAGTGAAGTACTGCCTCATAACAGACACGGTATCTCACTAGAACTCGAGGAAATAAATCTTAAAGTCAGTTATTAGTGATTACATAATGATTATTATGAGAAACGAACTGTCTAATGCTTCAAGGTTTTCCATAGTGGTCTAATTTTAATTGATTCATGAATTCAACCATTAAATTACTAAAATCTCCACAAAATCTTCTTTCCGATAAAAGAAATACATCATGAAATAAACAAAATGAATGCCCCTAAATGCCCTGGTACTGCCGAGAGTGGGAAGAATCCGCTCTACCTCTCCAAATGCTCTCATATAGCCACGCGTATATAGCCTCTGTCACACAAGTCCGACTCACTGCCTTCTCACAGTATTACTGTTGTTTACGAAATTGAGAGGACGAAAATCGAATTTCCGGTGCTTTAACCGGGTTGGTGGACATGGCGAGTCCACCTAGGGGAGTTGGAAAACCCTGATTCCAAACCAATGGTGGACATGGGCTCCCGTATGCTGAAGGAACAAATGGCGAATCAACCAGTTATTGATCACCGGCTACTATGGGACTGCATCTCCTTACGATGGTCCACTGCCTTGTGGATCAGACTTTTAGGTTAAAAACTCCGGGTGTGGCCTCCTCAGAAAACCACCTGCTTCAATTTGGGCAGCTAGACAGTTTCACAGCCTTCACACAAATCAAATGAGATTTGTGCGGCGCATATGTATTCGGTTCCCCTTTGTACCAAAATTTATTTTTTCAAATAAATAAATAAATAAAAACACAATGCATAGATTTGTGAATAAAACAAAAATCATTTGAATTTGGTTTGATTCGGTTTCAATATAGTAAGTGATTCAATAGTAGTCAAATGAGAAGATCAATCGATGATAATCAGAAGTTACTTTCTCATTCACTGCTGTGTTCTCGCTCAAGTAGTCAGTTGAAGGAGGAAATAGATTTCAGGACATTGTGTATCAATATCAAATCTTAGATACAACTCAACAGGTTTCTTATGGGTTTTGTTAAATAAACATAATAAAAGAACTAGAAGAGAATATTTTATCTTCGTTTCAGCAATTAATCATCTCGTGACGAAACAATGAAATTAGATAAGGTCAATAAGAAGCAGTCATTTCAGGTTCATTTGGGTTACCATTAATCAATGGTAAGACTATAATCTATGGATAACCTTTGAATGACAATAAAGTAAACCTGAAGATATTCACCTTCTGCTAGGTTTAAAAGAGGGCTGGAAAACTTGTGTAATGAGTTAGGATTAGAATTTAACGTAAGAAACCAACTTCAAAAATTGGAGTTGAGCTTTCTATCATGAACTGATGTTAGTTGCATTGCCAAAATGCAATTAAACCATATGGATAAATGGATTTTCGCTCCGAAATCCGAAACGTGCTATCAATTATCTCAATGGTTCGTCAAGAATTTATAATTTCGCCTTAATCAACTAATTTTTTTTCGTCAGTAACTATATCGGTAAGATAGCTCGGTAAGACAACTGACCTTCTTCAAGTAATCAGAGACAAAGAATGGTCATCTTGATTCTAACTTATATAATCCAGAGGTAATTGTTCTTAAAGATATTTTCATTGAAACCCCAAGAATTCACTTAATCAATGATTATTATATGTGACCAATATAAACAAACAACGTTATATTCACTCAGTATTGCTTGGTTTAATCTTCCCATTGACGTTTAAGACTGCAATTGATCAGTCTCTTATTGGTCATATGTGCGTATCAGGACTTAGTAGTTGAGTAGATAACATGATGGCGTTTCAAACGAATGGTACTAGGTTCGAGTCTCAAAATGAACATCAGCTCTGAGAAACAGATGTATCCAGCTGACGAGTGGCAAATAAGACGAAGTGTCCCCAAACCTGGATTTCACTGTTAGCTACAATCCATCTTTGCTTATGAAGCTTGTAACTTCAGGCAATATCAAGGCAGTCCGCACAAACTGCACATATGCCAATAAGAGACAGATCAATTGCAGTCCTAAATAACAATTGGAAGATACAAGTATAAAACACCAAGTGAATTTAAACTTCACCCCACTACACAAGCTAGTGGCTATCAGGACTCATTAACTAAGTGGATAACGTGATGGCGTTTGAAGCGAAAGGTACTTGGTATGAGTCCCCGACTGAACATCAACTCTGAGATGCAAGTACATTCAGTTATCGAGTCCCAAATAGGACGAAGTGTGGCGCGTCCTGGATTCCACTGCCAGACACCATCCATCTTTGTTCATAAACGACATTATATCTGATGTTTCCAACCGAAAACATATATACATTCGATCAAAATTTTTTAAAAAGTGATAGTTGAGTTAACAAACCAACTATCAATAAGAACTTACTTTCCATTTTTTATTTTCTAAAAATATTTTCTCACGTGCAATATCAGCACGATTCAATGTTAATGTGATCTCTAATTGTTCTAAATTAATTTGATCTGATGCAACTGTTGAACCGGCTGTAAAAAGAAGAAAGAAAGTAAAAAAAAGGTTTACTGTTAGATCTTGGACGAGAATAGTGGATAGTAACTGTTGAGATCTATTTATGGACTACTATGCTCTTCCACAAGGGGGTAACAGGTGTAAGTAAGTAAGTAATACGATACATATAGTTTTTATTGTGTAACTGGTAAGTAACTAAACTATGTATATTCATGTTCTTCATATTATAAGCTTGGAAGCATGATTGATAAACAAGGTGGATCGGATGCAGATGTAAAGGCGAGGATAGGCAAAGCAAGAACAACATTCCTACAATTGAAGAACATATGGAAATCAAAACAACTGTCAACTAATATCAAAGTCACAATCTTCATTACGAACATCAAGACAGTCAATTTTAGTGTACGGAGCTGAAACATGGAGAACTACTTCAACCATCATCAAGAAGGTAAAAGTATTTATAAACAGTTGTCTACGCAAAATACTCAGCATTCACTTGTCAGATACTATCAGCAACAGCGTTTTATGGGAGAGGACAAACCAACTTCCAGCTGAAGAGGAAATTAGGAAAAGACATTGTAAGTGGAAATCACCAAACTGTATCACGAGGCAATCCCTAACTTGGAATCCGGAAGGGAAACGGGAAAGTGGAAGGCCAAAGAACTCATTACACCGGGAGATTGAAGCAGATATGAAAAGAATGAATAACAACTAGAAAGAACTTGGATGGATTGCCCAGGACAGAATTAAATGGAGAATGCTGGTGGGTGGTTTATACCCCTCCACAAGGGGTAACTGACGTAAGGAAGTATATTTTAATCTTGATTTTGAAACGTAGGCTATTATTATACGATTCACAGTTCTTGAGTTGTGCTCAGTCTCTCACATTCACAGCCTCTTTAGGCTAGATCTGTTCGGTTTGTATATAAACCCAGTATGTTTGAAATACAATGATTCATTTCTCGGAGGGTGAGATTTGTGTTGTGGACTCTACAGGTTTGGCTAGGCAGGAAGAAGGACCGATGAAAACTCTGGACTGTTCTCATGGGTTATTATTATTATTATTATCACCAATGTCTATATTCAAAGAAATGAAAAATAACTCTAACAATCTTTTTGTTACAGAGTATATTTGCAAAGTAAGGTATGATAGAACGTTTATGGATTTATATCAGGAGGGTTTTTTGTGGAGATTTCAGTAATTTTGACAGTTGAGATCATGAGTCAATTGAAGTTAAACAACCATGGAAAACCTGGAAATACTGGACGGCCGTTTCTTCCTATTGTGGAACTCCTCAACAGTGCGCATCCATGATCCCACCTCACTAGATTCCTACCCAGGACCTACCATTCTCACGCGCGAGTACTTAACCACTAGACCACTGATCTAACCTGCATCCAACGGTGTTAATGTTTAATTTCAATTAATCCACGAAATCGAGCAACCATTCACCACTGTATTCGATGAGTTACTATCTCACAATAGACCTGGTTGAACCTTATTGAACTCTATTAAAATCTTAGCTACATTATGATACCTATATTCATCTTTAATCACCTTCATATGTCAGTTACTATGACAACTTTGATTAGATCAGTATGTAAACAGTTGATGAGACTCTAACAAAATGAGATGAATTCATATTATCCTTCAACAATCTTCTTTTCTTTTCTCTCTTCAAGATAATCAATGAAACTATGTATTGAAAGCATAAGTCGATTGAAGCTAGACGACCATGGAAAACCTGGAAGTACTGGACGTCTGCTTCGTCCTATTGTGGGACTCTTCAGCAGTTCGCATCCACGACCTCATCTCGCGAGACTCGAATCCAGGACCTGTCAGTCTTGCGCCAGAGGACTTCAACGATAAACCACTGAGCTGGTTTTCTTTGGTGTTCTAACTTCAATTGACTCATGCTTTCAACTATAAAAATAGTAAAATCTCCACAAAATCCCCTTCTGAATAAAATCATTATTCATTAATAATTGTATGTAAATAATGCAATCCATTTTATGGATTACGTCATAGACATAAGTTATATAAAACAATCTGACGAGTACTACACATGAATAGATCTATATATGTATATATGACAAAAGTATTATCTACCCCCTCCCCCCCCCAAAAAATTAACCTACCGAACAATATAGAAAAATGTTAATGTTAGTGTTTGTTCGTTTGTTTCTTTCGACCCCCCCCCTTCACTCTCCCCTTTAAAAAAGTAAACTTCCTTATTTGAATTGGGAACAATCAAATTAGTTGGATACATCATTAATCATTATAAAGTTTTTTTTCCCCTTTTTCATTTATTGGTTGTTGTGTTTTTTAAGTACAATCAATAGACAGACCATGGATACAAAATTATATCGTGAGAATGATCATAATCATTATATTGTAGGAATTAACCATTATTAATGGGTATTGAATGGATATATAAATGTCAATACAATAAATGAATTAAGATCATACATTATAATGACTGTAACATCTTTGATATGTCTATCTAATACAAAAAGAGAATTTGTGTTGATCTATATACATTATAGACTTGATATGATTTGATAACTAGGTTATGTTTAAGTTAGATCATCATGGAAAATCTGGAAGAATTGGATGGCCGTTTCATCCTTATTGTAAGACTCCTCAGTAAGTATGTATCTACGATCCCACTGTTCAATGATTCAAGGGTTTTCCAGGATGGTGTAGATTCAATTGACTCAGGATTTCAACTATATAATTACTGAAATCTTCACAAAAACCCCTTCTTATAATGATCATATACTCATTAGTGATTGGCTTCAAGAGGTATTTCCTGGAGTTCTAGTGAGAAGCAGTGATCAGTGTAGTTCAACCAGTTCTGTTGTGAGATATCAACTCACTGAAGACAATAGTGAACGGTTGCTCAATTTCGTGGATTGATTGAAGTTTGACATTAAAACCGTTGGATGCCAGCTCAGTAGTCTAGAGGTTAAGCGTTCACGCGCGAGACTGATAGGTCCTGGGTTCGAATCTCGCTTGGCGGGATCGTGGATGCGCACAGCTGAGGAATCTCATGTTAGGACGAAACAGCCGTCCACTGCTTCCAGGTTTCTCATGCTGTTCTATCTTCAATTGACTAATGATTTCAATTATATAATTACTGAAATCTCCACAAAATCCACTTCTGATAAAAATGAGTAAGTTTGAATTCAGACTAACTACTTTGGGTAAAGAGTTAAAAACTATTCTATTATCTGATTGGTTAACATATCAAGAGAGAGATTTAAATAAGATTTCGTATATTTATGATTTCCACACTATCAGATAACTGAGCTCGTATCCAATTGTGATAATGTCTAACTACAATCAATCGATGATCTTGCACAACCCTTAGATGGATAACTGTCTAACATTCAACACCGATCGAACTCTTCCAGTCACAATTTCTTACTAGAACTCTAAGAGTTATCTGTCGAAACTAGTTACTAATAAGCATATGATTAGTATCAGTATTATGGATTTGTAGAGATTATAGTATTGACATAATTACAAATCAAAAGTCTATCTAAGTTATATCATCATTCAAAACTTTATTTATTGCTTAATATATAAAAATAAAAGATCAACTAGACTGGAAATGGAGAGTAAAAGGAGACAAGATGTATTACACAACAAAGGTTATTATCAAAGAAAGAACAAGGTTCATGCTTCATCGAAAACCTAAAAGAAATGAAAACGATTGTGTCACATCCCACTATGTTTACCAATTTAAATGTGTGTGTGGTCACACATACAAAGAGAGGAGTAATCATGATCTCAAAATTAGGGTGTGTGAACATGTACCTAATTGATTGCAGAAAGAAATAGAATTGAATGACCCAATCAGAGTAAAGGATGTTTACATCCATCATCCTCTATTACGAAACATATGATGGAAACAGGTCATAAGATTGATCTTAACTCAGGTTTTGTGCTGTTGTACAATAATGTAAAAGAGAGTATGTAAAGCGAAGAGGGATAGTGACTAACAGTGGAGTCTAGGATGCGCATTTCATCCTATGTGGGCCTCTTCAGTTGAACGTATCTGCATCTAAGAATTCATGTTTACCCCGGAACTCCAGCTCGTGACTCCCTAAATGGGACTAAATGAGCGTCAAATTGCATTCTACTGCTAGCCAATATTCAACTTTACTTCTAAAATTTGTGAATTCAAGGAATAACAAGGCAATTCGCACATGATACATATATACCAATAAAAGACTGATTAGCAGTGCGCATTGCTGAGGAGTCTCACAATAGGACGAAACGGTTGTCCAGTGCTTCCAGATTTTCTTTGATGCACTAGCTTCAATTAACTCAGACTTTCAACTATAAAACAATTTAAACTGTATAAGAAACAAAAAGAAAGAATGAAATGAAATGTAACTCAATTTACCACTAGCAAGTAATGAAGAGATAACATAACCATCTAAATCAGAATCTTCTTCCATATCAAATACTGATACTAAATTTGTATATTCATTTATAATTTCACATAACATATTCACTTCATCAGTATAATTTGTATAATCTGGATGTAAATCACCAAGAAATTCTTCAATGATTGATTCAAGTCTGAAAATGTTAAAAAAGATGTAAACCAAAATAAAAGGGTTAAATGATGTTCCATCCACCGTAATCATCTGAAGAAACATTGGAGATAAGGAAATATGTAGGTTGGGATTTATGGATATACTTACTTGTTTACGCCTGTTACCCCTCGTGAGGGAAGAGTATAGGTCTACCACTAGTACTCTACATCCAACCTTGTCTTGGATAATCATTTCCAGTTGCTATTCATCCTTTCTTTACCTGCTTCCGATTTTAAGATCAGTGTGTTATTAGGCCTTTCATTTTTCTGCTACCCTTCAGGATTATAAGTTAGGGCTTGCCTCGTAATGTAGTTTGATGATTACCGTAATGTATGTCTTATCCACTTCTAGCATCTATTCTTAATGTTCCCTTCGAAATGAAGATAGTTTGTTGTCTGTTACAGTAGGTTGTTGCTGATGGAATCCGGTCAACGGATATTGAGTGTATTACGTAGACAACTGTTTATAATTACTAGTACCTTTTCGATGATGGTTGTAGTAGTTCTCCATGTTTCATCTCCATACAATAAAGCTAACTGTCTTGACGTTCGTATTGAAGATTTTCACTTTGAAGTTAGTTGACAATTGTTTTGAGTTCTATATATTCTTCCACTATAGGAATGTTGTTCTTGCTTTGCCAATCCTCACCTCTATATTTGCATTAGATCCTCCTTCTTCATCCATGATGCTTCTCATATACGTCAAAGTTTCCATCTCTTCCAGAGGTTCCCCATCAAGTGTGATCGCGTTGGTGTTCTCCGAATAGTACTTGAGGATCTTGGTTTTATATTTGTGTATATTGAGGCCAACTGATGCAGAGACCGCTGCTACACTAGTTATCTTCATCTGCATTTGTTCATATGCATGGGATAGAGTTATTTACTTTGTGAAGTTCGAATCGTCGGATTGATTCTGAGCTGTCCACTATATTCCGTGCTTTCCCTCAGATATGGAGGTCTTCATAATTCAGTCAACCACCAGAAGAAAGAGAAAGGAGGAAAGTTAGCAGCCTTGTCTGGTTCCGGTCCTTACTTGGGTTGGATCCGTCAGCTGTCCTTTATACTAGACACTAAGAGCTGGGCGATGCTTCCAGATTCACAGTGCTCCTACAGTCCATCGTGTAAAACATCTTGACATTGAATTGATCGTAGAAAACAATCTGATTTGGAAGTCACTTTAAAATATAAACTTATTCTGTAGGTATCAGAATAAGAGTAGTTTCGCCTGGGTGCTACTATTTTCCAGAGGACTTATTTGGGTTTATTATAAGACTAATGTACGATAACTATTTTTTCCCTCATTGACAACGTTTTCTGTATGTAAAAAAGGATAATCTATTTAACATCAAAAGTGTGACATTAATTGGACCGAAGCACAAAAAGATGAAACACCGGATAGATCTTTTGCATTTTTATGAGTTCCATCTGCCAAGTCCATCTACTACCATACACTTCATTGAGTTGTGAACGGTCATGTCTCTCGGTGATCACAACAACAACTTTGAATAGTCTAGATATCCGAATTCGGACATTTGTGGTTTAAAGCCACCTCAACACTAAGTTTTTCTCACCATCAATTTATTTGAGTTTATACGTAACAGATTTTAATTGGACCTTTTTAGAAGGTGGTTCTGTGCTGACCACTAAAGTCAGTTGTTTTGTGTTACTGGAAACCTCAAAAATATGCATTCACAGCCCCACCAGGCATTGAACTTAGGGCCTTCTAAACCATCGGATATAACTTAATGTCTAAATGACTGAGTTGCCTTTCACTGTTGGTCTCAGTGATCAAAACATTATATGCTAAACGTGTACTATAAAGATTTTGTGATCAATCTTGAATGTGGTCGTGGGAAAGTATTACTGGCAACTCTAACATTTAAAAAAAACAGCTGTTCACTTCATCTTCGTTTTCAGTGATTGTCTAACGTTTCAATTGTACCTGCAGCAAGAAGGACCTAACAGACATTGATCATCACCATGTGATCAATCAATTGTAAATACAACTAATTCCCACAGAAGATCAGTCACAACCCGGATACCCCAGTGTTAACGTCTTTGACTATGAAGCTAGGTAACACAGAATTGAATCCGTCATATAGTATCAGTTCCTTTAAGATTACATGTACACCTCTATGGCGAGTGCCAAGTACCACGAAGCCCGGGTCCAGGGTTTCCTGTTGACTACCTCCAACTACCATATTATCTCAACATAATGCACGCAATGTCATCTCACCTAGAGTGGTGACCACATTGCAACTTGTTAGAATTTGATCTGCACTAAGAAGTACTTGACTACCCAGTGATCAACCAATTGTAAATATACCTCTTTATTTCCTTTAATGGATAAAGAAATTTTAAAATGTCATTAAAGTCAGTCGTAATTCTTTTCACCGGTAAAAAAAATAAACAGACTAACATTTCATCCAAGTTACATTCTTACCTGACATTAAAAACACACAGTTTTAATGAAAGTCTCTATTGAAGAGAGATAGATACAGTTGTCAGTTATATGATTAGATCAATGATTTAAAGGAGGAAAAGCATAACGTATAATGGTAGTTAACTGATGTGTATAATGTTACATCATAGATTAATTTCAGTTAGATAATCATTGAAAATCAGAAAGTACTAGACAGTTGTTTCCTTCTAATATAGGACTTATCTAAAGAATACATCTACAATATCATGAATTATAGGAAAGCAGGACCTTCCGTCTTTCAGTTAGAACTTAGCCTTTAGACAGCCAATTCACGATTAATTGATTTATCTATCTTAATCAGAAGGCGTTTTTTGTGGAGATTTAATGAGTGCACACTGCTGAGGAGTCTCACGAAGAGACGAAACGGCCATTCATTTCTTTCAGGTTTTCCTTGGTGGTCTAGCTTCAATTGACTCAAGCTTTCAATTATCTATCTATCTGTCTAACTAGTTTACTATACTTTTAAATCATCTTCTAGTCCCATTGTTGAATAACTGTCTCACACCATACATTACTGAACACCACTTTAGATGTCTTCTTACTATAACTCAAAGAGTCCCCTTTTGGAATTAACCATTAGCAACATATGATGATGTTCCATGAACGAGGTTCTACACATAAATTAGACAGTTGCCCAATGCTTACCGACTTATTTAATCACAATTGACTGATCACTGGGTGATGATCAATGTCATGCGTGTCAAGTCTTTCTTAGTGCTGATAGGATGCCATCGATCAAGTTGCACTATGGCCACTAGTCTAGTTGGCTCAACACTGCATGCACTATATTGAGATAAGATGATGATTTGAGTTGGTCAACAAGAAACTATGAATCTGGGTTTCGTGCTACTTGACACTCGTCAGCAAGGTTTACCCGTAATCTTGAGGGAACTGACACTACATGACGGATTCGATCCCGTATCACTCAACTTCACAGTCAAAGACGTTAACACTGAGCTATCCAGTCTGCGACTGACTTCCTATAGAACTGAGATATAATCACAATTGATTGATCACTGGATGATGATCAGTGTCATGCATAGCAAATCCCTCTTAGTGCTATCCATAGATAACCATAAAAATTCAATAATCTTCACAAACTCCTATCTTAATAATATATAGTTCACTCAAACTGAGAACCATTCAGTATAAATTCAACATTGGAAGCTCAGCTTCCGCGTAAGCTCTTTCTTGAGCCTTTGTACTACTTCGGCTGATGAGCTACATTTTATTCCAAATGACTATCTCACTGTGTATTGATCAATTCATCTGTCACTACGGATCTAAGTTTGATTAGTCAACGGATTCTTGTTGTTTGCACATACTAATTATCGGTTGCCATCTGTCAATTAGATTCAGTCAATACATAACCATCAATACATTATCATTGTATAAGTAATATAAAACAGATATTGAATGTAAATTACCTAGCCTCCAATGGTACTTGATCTTTATCATCAACAACTTCTTCAGAAGCCATTTTATTCGCCGCATCTAATCCAAATGCTAATACATCAGCTGCACCAGATGTACCCTAATACATCAGATTAAAGAACATTAAGATGTGAAAATTAACTGATTGTATTTGAGGGTTTGTAATAATGTTGGTATTAACTTAAATTTCTGTTCTCTTTTTTTGAAATCCATTTAGTTAGTTTTATAAGCAAAGATAGATAGCAGCTAGCAAAAGGATACAGGACGCGCGTTTCGTCATATTTGAGACTCGTCAGCTGAATGTACTTGCATCTCAAAGTTAAAGTTCCCTCTAGGACTCGAACCCAGTGCCGTTTGCTTCAAACGACAACACGTTATCCACTTATTTATTGAGTCCTGATAGCCACTAGCTTGTGCAGTGGGGTGAAGTTTAAATTCACTTGGTGTTCTATAATTGAATCTTCCCCATGATGTTGAGGACTCATTACCTATGAAGATTATGTGATAGCGTTTGAAGTGAACGGTACTGTGTTTGAGTTCCAGAATGGATGTCAACTCTGAGATGCAGATACATCCATCTGATGAGTCCCAAATAGGACGAAGTGTCGCGCATCCTGGATTCCACCTCCACTATCCACCTCTGCTTATACTCCTTGTGACTTGAAACAATATCGAGGCAATCCGTACAGGTTGTAGACATGCGAATATGAGACTGCAATTTAGGACTGCAACTGGTCAGTTCCTTATTGCCATTTGTGCATACTGTGCGTATTGCACAAACAAGTGGCTATCAGGACTCAGCAGCTGAGTGGATAACTTGATGGCGTTTGAAGCGAAAGTTACTGGGTTCGAATGACAGAGTGAATATCAACTTTGAGATGCATGTACATCCAGATGACGAGTCCAAAATAAGACGAAGTATCGCGCGTCTTGAATTTTACTGATAGCCTCTATCAATCTTTGTCAATAAACCATATAACATTTAACATTTAATAATTAAATATTTTAATTAGTAAGTTAAAATACCACAAATGAGAGATGACTGTCCAATGCTTCCAGGTTTTCCATGATGGTCAAGCTTACATCGACTCAGGAGTTCGACTATTGAATTCATGATAAAGTTTTATTATTCATTCATGATTGAATAATAAACAAAACTTTTTGACCAAGTAGACATCTGTTCATCTTAATGAAGAAGATCCCATGAATGGTCTGTTTAAGGAGTTGATTTCATCGACTAGATATGTATTTAGTACAATAACATTTCAATACAACTTTGTACTTATCCTACACACTTGCAGATCATTGGACATGGATCGGATGGAAAACTAACGGTTAGAAAATAAAGAATACTGGAAAGAAGTCCCACAATAGGACGAAATGGTCGTTCAGTGGTTCCAGGTTTTCCATAGTGGTCTAGCTTCAATTGACTCATGATTTCAACTATCGAAATTACTGAAATCTCTACGAAAGCTCCTTCTGATGATATTTATATGAATATTAGTACTACTACTATTATAATTATAAGTAGTCGTATTATTCGTAGTGCAGTGAGCAGGAACACAAGTTGGGACAACCATATGTATATAAATACGAAATTACAGAATCCCTCAGTAAAATCTGGGAACCGTACAGTAAATATTTCATTTGCAAAATGTCAATCAATTATCTTAGACTTCATTGTTCCATACCAATCACTCTATCCTGGCAGCGACATCCCATTAGCCCCCAAATGCCCCGGTACGGCCAAGAGTGGGCAGAGTCCGCTCTCCCTCTCCAAATGCTCTCACATGGCCACGCGTATTTAGCCTCTGACAAGGAAGTCATACTCACGGCATCCTCGCACCACGGGTGTTGTTTACGAAATTGAGAGGACGAAAAGCGAATGTCCGGCGCTTTAACCGGGTTGGTGGACACGGAAAGTCCACCTAGGAGAGTTGAAAAACCCTCATTCCAAACCAATGGTGCACATGGGCTCCAGTATCCTGAGAGGAAAAATGGCGTATGAATCAATCGTTGGTCACCGGCTATTATGGGACCGCATCTCCTCACGATGCTTCACTGCCTTGTGGGTTAGACTTTTAGGTCAAAGGCTCGAGATGTGACCCCTTGAGAAAATCACCTGTTTCGGTCTGAGCACCTTGGCAGTATCACAGCCCTCACACTAAAAAAGTGAAGCGCATATTTATCTGGTGCTTTTTTGTACCAATATGTATGTGTTTAAATAAAATAAATAAACCAATCACTATCTGTTTTCGTTCTCTTCTCTTCACTCTTCTCAATCTTCTGTGTTCAAGCATTTCATTTTCGATTGATGATACATACTGCTTATATCTGTCGAAGTCAGTATAACAAACCACAGTAGTAGTATCAATAGCAGTATAACTAAATCCTTCTTTTAATTACTCTACAAAGATGGAACCTGTTAGTAACTATTTGTGATTAAAGAGTTACATTACCTACTCTGCTCAGTGGTCTGGAGGTTAGTGTTCACACGCGAGTCCGATGGTCCTAGGTTCGAATCCAGCGTGCATAGTCGTGTATACACACTGCTGAAAAGTCACATCCTAATACAGAATGACCTTTCAATGCTTGGATGTTCTCAGTTGTTGCCTAATGTAGACTGGATCGTAATTTTATTGAATATATTTGTATCAATTATAAAATATGGTAATCTATGAACTATTCCTTAAACTTCAACTACCTTTGTAACAACAATTGGACAACGATTTCGTATCATTGAACAATAAACTTGACGTAGTGTAAATCGATCACCGCCTACAACTAATCCACACATTGGAACTAAAATTTCTTCTTCACTACCAACAGATTTTCCACTTTTTGCTGGTTTAAGACTTGAATCAGTAGTAAGTTTATCCTTTGCTCCACGTGTAACAGATGCAGTTGATATAGGTTGATTACTGACTACTGGTTCACTAACACCTTTACTTAGAGCAGAATTACTAGAAGAACCACCTGTTATTGCAGACGTTTTACCAATTGATGTTGCACTTGTTTGTGGACCAGATGTTGTACTAGCTTGTCCACCCATAGTACTACCTTGTCTTTGTAATCCACTTGAGTTTACATTATTATTAACATTAGATGATGTAGAAATACCATTTTGTGGTTGTTGTAAATGTGTTGTAGAACTTATAGGTCCACTTTGTTGACTTGTAACAGTTGTTGTTTGTTCTTGTGGACTTCTAGCACAATTCCATAATGATATACATCTTTCAAATCTTGCACGTAGTTCAGCTTCTTTACCTTTTAATTGATCAGTTGTACCATCATCGACTAAAACAAAAAAATTATGATTAGGATCTAGGGCACGTTCTTCAATATCACTACGAACAGATTTTATACCGCCTTGTGATAATGGATCAACTAAAATTGGTTCACTATCTTCAGCCTCTTCTTCTTCATCTTCTTCAGATTGATACACTGCTGTACCCTAAAATATAAAACAAAAATTAATCAGAAAAACAGTTGAGATTAGTATTTGTTAATTCATTATAAGGCTCTGTAAAATCCTAAAAAATGCAGTCTACCATTCTTAGTTACGTAACAGCCAATTCTAGGCAAAAAATTTTTATTAGAAGGGGGTTTGTGAAGATTTTAGTAATTTTATAGTTGAAATCATGAGTCAGTTGAAGCTAGACCAACATGGAAAACCTGGAAGCACAGGACGGTCGTTTCGCCCTATTATGGGACTCCTCAGCAATGAGCATCCACGATCCCGCCTTCGCGAAATTTCGTGAACTGGTTGAAGTTAAACATCAACACCGTTGGATTCAGGCCGGTACAGTGGTCTATCGGTTAAGTGCTCTGGCACGAGACTGGTAGGTCAAGGGTTCTGATCTCTTGAGACGGGATCGTGGATGCACACTGTTGAGGAGTCCCGTACTAGGACGAGACGGCCGTCCAGCGCTTACAGGTTTTCCATGGTTGTCTAGCTTCAATTGGATAATGATCTCAACTATACAGAAAAAATTACTGAAATCTCCACAAAACCCCCCTTCTGATAGTCTCACTATATCAAACAAAAGTGATACACATATGACTTACATTACCTCTAAGTGTTTTTACAGGCTTAAATTTACGGATCGAAGCATATACATTAGAAAAATAGAAATAAATGGTAATATTTTTCTTACCTCTTACTAGCTCTTAGAAATTAAGGCTAGTTAGTCAACATGGTTTCAGAAGTACGATTGCTTTTTGTTTGCTTTATAATAGACATGACGTTGATACTTCAGTCATTCAAAAGTATTATGGTATTTCGTTGAAGACATCGATACCTAAGGCTGTTAACCTGATTTATGTATTCAAAAAGATACTGCCGACAGTCTATAACTATCCTAAGAACTTCAGTTTATCACCCTTAGTTACGTAACAGCTCATTCTGGGCAAATTTATTTTATCAGAAGGGTGTTTTGTAGAGATTTCAGTTATTTTATAGTTGAAATCATAAGTCAATTGAAGCTAAACCACCATAGAAAACCTTAACCGCCGTTTCAAGTCACCATCTGAATGTGGTCATGATAAAACTGAATCTAAAAAAATACTGGACAATTGAAGAAACAGCGTTACAAAGGTCTAATATAACCTTCCTTCAAAATACTAACAAACTCAACAAATTTAAAATAGCTCTCAACAACAGGTTCCAAGCTTTTCAAAATCTACACAAAGAAGAACAAACTACTATAGAGGAAAACTGGAAAGAATTTTTAAAGACAGGATTCGATAGAGAATCCTGATGGACGATCTATACTCCTCCATGAAGGGTAACAGGCATTAGTAAACAAATAATGAATGGATAAAAAAGTAAATTCATATAATTCTGTCAACTTCACAAACACAATTATCTTCTTTTCTGTCTACTATGATACTCTATACAGTATTGTAAGCTTAATCACTAATACAGTAATCTTATATAGTTGAAATCACAGAAGCATTGTACGACCGTCTCATCCTATTGTGGAACTCCTCAGCAGTGCGCATCCATGATCCTGCCAAGCGAGATTTCAACTCACGACCTATCAGTCTAGCGCGCGAGCGCTTAACCACTAGACCACTTAGCTGACCGGCATCCAACGGTGCTATTGTCTAACTTCAACCAGTCCACCAAGTTGAGAAACCATTCAGCAATATCTTCAGTGAGTTGATATCTCACAACAGAACTGGTTGAACTCCACTGGTCACTGCTACTCATTAGAACTTTGGGAAAACTTCATGAAGCCAGTTACTAGTGAGCATATGACCATTATTAGAGGAGAGTTTTGTGGAGATCTCAGTAATTTTATGTAGTTAAAATCATGAGTTATCTTGTCATATATTTATAATTCCATTCATCTATACTAATGAATGAATATCATAGTGTAGTACCTATATATATCTATTCTGTATAATGATTGACAAATTCAATAAGCATTAGTTTAACTTCCTGTAGAGTTAACTTCATTTAAGCTTGATTTATCTTTCCTATAATTGTTTCATTAACTTATCAACTGTATATATATAGTTTGTAAGGTATATAGTTCAATGTATGTTCATTAATCTGGCATAACCTATTTAGGTGTGGTTATGAGAAAAGCTTCCGATCCTTCGCTGTACAACTTACAATACAGTACAATCATTATCAAGGATATCATGGTAGTTGACAGATTTATTTATTTATTATTTAAGCACATAAATATTGGTACAAAGGGGCACCAGATATATATGCGCTACACAAGTCACTTGATTTGTGTGTGTTTTGTAATACTGCCCAGGTGCCCAGACTGAAGCAGATGGTTTTCTTAAGAGGACACACCCAGAGCCTTTGACCTATAAGTCTGATACACAAGGCAGTGGAACATCATGAGGAGATGCGGTCCCATAATAGCCGGTGACCAACGATTAATTCATACGCTAATTGTTCCCTCAGGATACTGGAGCCCATGTGCACCATTGGTTTGGAATCAGGGTTTTTCAACTCTCCTAGGTGGAGTCGCCGTGCCCACCAACCCGGTTAAAGCGCCGGATATTCACTTTTCGTCCTTTTAATTTCGTAAACAATACACCCGACATGAGAAGGCAGTGAGTAAGACTTTCCTGATATGCATTGAAAACAATGAACACTGTTCAGATGTATATTCGTGAACTGTTAGTTAACATATAACTTGAGATGACTAATTGATAAAGTTTTAATGTCACCTAATCTGACCCTGTTTGGATCGTATGCTGACTGTCATTGAAATACACATGCCGGTTATCCTCTTATATCTCACTGACTTAATTTACGTTAGTGAATAACGGGATTAAATAATTCAAATACTAGAATGAAGTTTTGTAGTCCCCAAATGCCCTGGTATGACCGAGAGTGGAGAGAGTACGCTCCCCCTTTTGAAATACTTTCACGTGGCCATGCGTATATAGCCTCTGCCAGGGAAGTCCTACTCACTGGCTTCTCACAGTATTACTGTTGTTTACGAAATTGAGAGGATGGAAAACGAATGTCCGGCGCTTTAACAGGATTGGTGGACACGGAAAGTCCACCTGAGGAACTTGGAAAACCCTGATTCCAAACCAATGGTGCATATGAGCTCCGGTATCCTGAGGGAACAATTAGCATATGAATCAGTTGTTCGTCACCGGCTACTATGGGACTACATCTCCTCACGATGCTTCACTGCCCTGAGGGTTAGACCTTTAGGTCAAAGGCTCGTGTTGTGGCCCTCTAACAAAACCACTTGCTTCGTTTTGGGCACCTGGGAAGTATCACAGCTCCCACAGATCAAATAAGATTTGTGTGAATGTTCTTGGTGTTCTGAACTCAACTGGCTGGGCTAGGCACGTCATATATAACAGGGCACGCACACAATCGATATAACATAAATAATATAATGAGATTATAAATGGTATCAATAACTGTAAGCATATATCATTCATCCAGTTACATTAAGGAATTGAATAAGGTTTAGTCAATTCTTGATAGTTGACACTATTAGATAAGTATGAACTATGGATAATAGAAGAAAGTTTTGATGTATGTTCCTTACATTCTACATTATATCAATATATCTTAGTTAGGCTGTTAAATAGCTTAAGATTTGTATTTCCCTGATAGATATTTCACTCGTAATAGATATCTGTAATGAAACATTTAGCAAAGATGGAATCCATGAAGCGCGTTTCGTGTTATTTAAGACTCAACAGATGGATATACCTGCATTCCGCAGTTGATATTCACTCTGGGACTCAAACCCAGTACCATCCACTTCAAACACCATCACGTTATCCACTTACGTACTGAGTCCCGGTAGACGCTTGTGCGATCGGGTGAAGTTTAAATTCACTTAGTATTGTTTACTTGAATCTTCCCATTGATATTGGGGACTCAGTAGCTACGTGGATAACGTGGTGGCGTTTGAAGTAAACTGTACTGGGTTTGAGTCCCAGAATGGACGTCAACTCTGAGATGTAGTACATACATCTGATGAGTCCCAAATAGAACGAAGTGTCGCGGGTCAAACTGGATCCTACTGCTATCCAGTATCCACCTCTGCTTATACTGCTTGTGACTTAAAACAATATCGAGGCATTCCGTACAGGTTGTACATATGCGAATATGAGACTGACCAATTGCAGTCCTAAATAACAATCGAAAGATTCAGGTAAACACTTAGAATGTTTATTCAGCTAGTCAGAGATGAACAACGAATAATCTGATCCATGACTTGTTTCAATAAATAGATAAGAGACTCTAATAGTAAGAATCGTATTACCTTCTATGATAATAAAAAAACAGCGAATATAGTTGGAAGAGATCAAAAGAATTAGATAGATGAAATTTCATTAAGATTTAAAATGAAGTCAGTCAAACTATCTGATGGATATACTTAAACTCCTGTAACTCATACATAACCCATACCTAACGTGGAGAACTACTACATTCATCATCAAGAAGGTACAAGTATTTATAAACAGTTGTCTACGCAAAATACTCAACATTCACTGGCCGGATACTATTAGCAACAGCTTTCTGTGGGAGAGGACAAACGAGCTTCCAGATGAAGAAGAAATTGGGAAAAGACGATGGAAGTGGATTGGACAAACATTAAGGAAATCACCAAACTGTATCACGAGGCAAGCCCTAAGTTGGAATCCGAAAGGGAAGTGTAAAAGAGGAAGGTCAAAGAACACATTGCGTCGGGGAATAGAAGCAGATATGAAAAAGATGAATAACAACTGGAAAGAACTGGAAAGTATTGCCCAGGACATAGTTGAATGGAGAATGCTAGTGAGCGGCCTATGCTCCTCGACGAGGGGTAACAGGCGTAAGTAAGTAAGTAACCCATATACGACCATGTCATTTAAGGTTGATAACGACTGTTAAGAGTTCTGAGGAAGACCTACATTAGTAGGTAAGTTGATGGTCACTGACATTATACACTCATCTTCATGTTCACTCTCTCGCATGACTATGATAAATGAACAATAACAATGCTCATACTAGCGTCTATTCGAAATACCTATCGAAGATGATCTATTCATTGTCAATTCGTATGTAATCCAAATTTAATACAGCTTTCATCTTAAGTTAGTATTAATGCAAGCCCTTTCGTTCGTCTATCACGTCAATCACCATTCAAAAAAAGTATATACAATAATAGATAATAAGTAAAGATGGATAGTGACTAGCAGTGGAATCTAGGACGCGCGTTTCGTCCTATTTGGGACTCGTCAGCTGGACGTACTTGCAACTCAAAATGAATAATAGATAATGAATAAAATCATATTAGTTACCTCATGTAAAGCTGCTTCAAGTATTTCATTTTTTGTTACACAATCCCAACTTGCTACACCGAATGCCATCATTCGATTACCACCATAAGCATCTGTATAATCACGTACAGCTTCACCAGTTAGCTTCATTACTCCTAAATGAAAACCACCTGTTACAATCCAACAACCTACAAAGATTAAGTTACAAATAGAAAAGATATTTTAGAAGAATGAATGAATAAAATGTTTTTACAGTTGAAATAATGAAAACAATTGAAGCTAGACCATCATGAAAAACCTGGAAGCACTGGATGGCCGTTTCGTCCTATTATGGGATTCCTCAGCAGTGCGCATCCACGGTCCCGCCTCGCGAGATTCGAACCCAGGACTTACCAGTTTCATGCCAGAACACTTAACCGATAGATCACTGAGCCGGTCGATATCCAGTGGTTTTAATGTTTAACTTCAACCAATCCACGACGTTTGAGCAACCGTTCACCAACTGTCTTCAGTGAATTGATATCTCAACGACAGATGTGGTTGAAATCCACTGGTCACTAGTTGATTTGTGCATATGCTTATCATTTAAAAGTAGTCTAGAAATACTCTTCATCAATACTTTATGTGGTTCTTTTGTAGTGAACGAGCTCTCAGGTGGGAGTAATCAGAATTATGGAGTATCTTCAATAAATTATGAAAACTATACATTAAATACATCATTTGCACATCTTTATTGTACTATCTTTAATATACTCTATTTTTCCTTTAATTCCTCTAAATCTCCTATGCGGCGAGATTAAACTGTACTATTTGGGCTAAACCTGGACAGTGTCTGGTTTTGCTGCGAAATGGGATCGAACTGTAATGTTTGAGTTGTCACGTGAAAGTCTGGATGATGTCTGGTTCTCCTGAAAACCAATATAAAATTAGCCTGACCCACGAGGGTATATTATATAATTGCTAACAATAATAACTGTGAACTTTTTCTAATTCTGTTGTTATATTACTTATATGTACCACCATGAGTAGCATACACAAGATTCCCCGATACAATACAACATACACCAATCGAATTAAACTTGACGGAGAAAGACTGGAGGATTTGAAAACCTTTACATATCTGGGCAGCATCATTAATGAACACGGTGGATCTGATGCAGATTGTAAAGGGTGGATCGGCAAAGCAAGAGCAGCTTAATTACAACTGAAGATCATCTGGAATTCAAAACAATTGTCTGTCAACCAACACCAAGATCGAAATTTTCAATGCAAATGTCAAGACAGTTCTATTGTATGGGGCGGAGACGTGGAAAACTACGAAAGACATCATCTTGAAGATACAGGTGTTTATTAACAGTTGTCTGAGCAAGATACTTCGGATTCGTTGGTCAGACAATATCAGCAACAACCTGCTGTGGAAGAGAACAAATCAGATTCCAGTGTAGGAAGAAATCAGGAAGAACCTCTGGAAGTGGATAGGACACACACTGAGGAAATCACTGAACTACGTCACAAGGCAAGTCCTCAAAGGAGAAGTGGAAGACCAAAGAACACATTACGCCGAGAAATAGAGACAGACATAAGAATAATGAACAAAAGTTGGATAGAACTAGAAAGGAAGGCTGAGGACAGAGTGAGTTGGAGAATGTCGGTCGTTGGCCTATGCTTCATTGGGAGTAACAGGCGTAAGGAAGTAAATGTTTTTCGAATTCTGTTAAAAACTGTTAACTCCTATATAGCTAATGTACAATATATCTCTGCAGTAGTTGAACATTAACTACCGTTTTAAACAGTAATGAATATTTTGATGTTATTATTAGTGTGAAATTATCATGTGAACCAATTGAAATGATAAACTGTTCCTTCAAAAATCATTGAACCAACGAGTCACCACTGTTTAAACTCAGTATCGAAATACAATTGAGTTCATTAACATCTTCATCAGTTTCATATTTATATTCATAATAGTTAGAAGCTTTCATCCAGACATTCATGGTTCCGAAATAGTCGTTCAAAATATCATACTGGAAGGTGATGAAAATGTTCCATTCATCCTAAATGATTTCATAAACACTAGTTATGTGAGGATTGACGAACACGGTGGATCAGATGCAGATGTGAGGGCGCGGATCGGCAAAGCAAGAGCAGCATACCTACAACTGAAAAGCATCTGGAGCTCAAAACAATTGTCAACCAACACCAAGGTTAGAATTTTCAATACAAATGTTAAGACAGTTCTGCTGTATGGGGCGGAGACGTGGAGAACTACGAAAGCCATTATCCAGAAGATACAAGTGTTCATTAACAGTTGTCTACGCAAGATACTTCGGATCCGATGGCCAGACAGTATCAGCAATAAGTTACTGTGGGAGAGAACAAACCAGATTTTAGCGGAGGAAGAAATCAGGAGGAAGCGCTGGAAGTGGATTGGGCACACTTTGAGGAAATCAGCTAATTGCGTAACAAGACAAGCCCTCACATGGAATCCTGAAGGTCAAAGGAGAAGAGGAAGACCAAAGAACACATTACGCCGAGAAATAGAGACAGACATGAGAAGAATGAACAAGAACTGGATAGAACTAGAAAAGGAAGCCCAGGACAGAGTGGGTTGGAGAAAGCTGGTCGGCGGCCTATGCTCCATTGAGAGTAACAGGCGTAAGTAAGTAAGTAAGTAAGTTATGTGAGGATAATATATATATACATTCCCGAACCTCCCCCCCTCCAATGGAGGAACTCAAATCCAGAACCTTCTATCTAGTGTGTACGCTTTACCTGTAGACCACTGAGCTGGTAACCAACAGTGTTAATATCTAACTCCCATTGATAACAGATCTCAAACTATAAAACTTATCGATGTAGGTTTGAACTATACATTGAGCAACAAAATCGCTATCACTTATCAATGACGAATTTCAACTACAGTATAACGGAGGAAGAAATCAGGAAGAAGCAATTGAAGTGGATAGAACACACGTCACAACGCACTCCTTCACATGGAATCCTAAAGGCCAGAGGAGGAGAGAAAGACGAAAGAACACATTAAGCCGGAAAATAGAGACAGACATAAGAAGAATGAACAACAAATGGATAGAACTAGAAAGGAAGGCCGAGAATAGAGTGTATTGGAGGATGTTGGTCAGTGAACTATGCTCCATTGGGAGTAACCAGCGTAAGTAACTAAGTAATAAAGTTGCCCAGAAAACTTTGTTAATACCAATTATGTAATATTGATATTACAATTGATTCATGTATATCTCACAAAACATATGCATAGTAGACATGGATCCAATAGATTTATGCCTTAATATTCAATTCTTTTGATGATCGGTTAGATTGATCAAGACTTTTAAACTATGTCTATTGTATAAATTCAACTTAGTATTGTTTGTTTGAATCTTCCCATCGATTTGTTAGGACTGCAACTGGTCAGTCTCTAATTGGCATATGTGTATACTGTGCGTATTGCCTCGATATACCTTAATTCACAAGCATGGTTAGCAGAGATGGATAACGCCGAGTGGATAACGCGATGGCGTTTGAAGCGAGGGTACTGGGTTCGAGTCCCAGAGTGAACATCAACTCTGAGATGCAGGTACATCCAGCTGACGAGTCCCAAATAGGACGAAACGCGCGTCCTGGATTCCACTGCTAGCCACTATCCATCTCTGCTAACTATGTCTATTGTATGTTGATCTATCTATAAACTAAACATATTTTAAACATTAAATTAAAGGATTATCCATGGCACCAATGTAAATTACTTTGTAGTCAAGAAAAAAAAACACTATTATCATTATTCAATCTATTTGATGTAGGTAATGCATATCAGAAAAGGGATAATAAGACGAAATGACCTGACAGTACATCCAGGTTTTTCATGGTGAGCTACCTTTAATTGACTCATGAATTCAACTATTAAACTGCCAAAATCTTTACAAAATCCCCTCTATATCTCTGATTAGAGTTACATTTCAGTTCATCGGTATATGCTACTTATGTCTGTTAACATAAGTAGTATGTAACACCGATTAGAAGTGAAAATCCTAGCAACGGAAGACTAAGAAGATTGAGTGAAAGAGAAATGATAAGAAATAGGAAAGAATTGTAAACTGGAAGAATCATACAGAATGTGATGGACAAATAATGGAAATTGGCAAATGTAGTATTCAGTGTATGGTTCTCATTATCTTACCAAGATATTCTGTCTTCGGTCAAGTGAGATTGTAGACTTAGTGAACAGCTTTCTTTTCACTTTAACTATGGATTTATTAGTGATTCGTATTCAACATTTTGAACTTAGAACACTTAGGTGTCATAGAGAACACGATCTCATCCAGTCATTAGGTTAGTATACCATGTTACATATTCCATAATATGAACAACTTACAATATTGTGTAAGGATTATTTTCATAGTTGAGATCATGAGTCAATTGAAGCTAGAGCACCAAGGAAAACCTGGAAGTACTGGACGGCCTTTTCGTCCTATTGTGGGATTCCTCAGCAGTGCGCATCCACGATCTCGCCTCGCAACATTCGAACGCGGGACCTAGCAGTTTCGCGCCATAGCTATTAACCGATAGACCACTGATCCAGCATCCCATGGTGTTATTGTCTAAATTCAACCAAGGATTATTTAATAATTACTTTTTAAATAATTTTAATAGTTGAGATCATTATTTAACTGAAGCTAGACCACCATGGAAAAATTAGAACTAATGGATGATCGTTTTGTTCTATTGTGGAACTCCTCAGGAGTGAGCATACACGAACCCACACCACAGGATTTCAACCCAGGACTAATTGGTCGCACTCGCTAACGCTCAACCTTTAAACCACTGATCTGGCCAACATCCAACGTGTTAATGTCTAACTTCAGCCGATGATGACTCGAAAAACAGGATGAAACAAGCGTTCTAGACTACATCCACCTCAGTATGGTAAATATTTTTTGTTGTTTAACATAAACATAAGGATAATATATTCTAGTAAACGAAAGTTCCAACACTTGTAGTGAATAGAACATCTCATTAAAGTAGTTAATCTGCAAAATAACAATCTATCGTCTGAAACTTGTCTGTTTCTTTTGCAAATATCAGTTCATTGTCTCAGATTTCATTGTTCATGTATTTTCATACCGATTGCGTTTCGTTTCTGTTCTTTCTTAATCGATCTTTTACTGAAATATAT